TATATATATATATTCATATATATGTATACCAAATACTAAAAGCTAACGTACTTAAAGAATTTGAATGTGAGGCCACTAAAGTGATACTGGTAAATGGTATTGAGAGCTTGAATGAAGGAAGTGACAGTTCTCTTGCTCAGCAGGCACAGCTCAAAAGTCACGATGAATACTCAGAATTCTAAATACCACTACTTAAAAATATACAAATGCCATGGCAAATATGAGAAATACGAAGAATTTCAGATGCTAGTTATTAGGAATTATCCTTGTGGATGGATTATTTTCTAGATAATAACAGTTCATTCATGTTAAAAGTCATAAGCTCTAATCACCATATAAATATGCATTGATAACCACATTATAAATAAAATATGAATGATCATCACAGGCCAAGGAGTGATTTAACAACAAAGAAATCATTGTTTCAGGTATCCCTCACCAACAACAAAGAAAATTATTGAAATTCATTTCTTATTCCTTGTCTCTAAGAGCCATCATGCATAATTCAATGAAATAAATATTAACATTTCATCAGGTCAGGAACTATCTTCCTCTATTATCACCTTCTATTTATACAATGCTTTTTTGTGCTTTAATAATAATAATAATAGCAACAATTTATTGAGCGCTTACTATGTGCCAGGCGCTGTACTAAGCATAGCATATAATTTCCTAGGAATGCTCTAATGCAAGTACTGTGACCCCATTTTACAGATTAGAAACTGAAATCTGCAATGCTGAAAAGAAGTGCCCACAGTCACGCAGCTGGGAATTGGCAGGGGCAGGTTTTGAAAGTAGGTCTGTCTGATTCCTAAGCTTAGGCTGAATGCTTATTCCTCACATCGTCATAACCCAAAGGTTGTACTGCCAGGACTAAGCAGTAAGCACCAAAGAGTGAAAGTCCTCAACCCAGAGCAGACAGGAAGTGTGGGTTAAAGACCTCACTCTCAGTCCCATGTCGTTCTCATCGTGCCACTCCTCAGCCCACTGTCAAGTAGCCAAGCGTCAACTCCGTGTTTCCAATGCTGGGCTAATTAGCAATGCAAGAAAGATGAAGTGAAAATGTCTCAAATATGCTACATTCAGATTTAATTTCTCCATATTTGTTATTCATGCTAATAAAATGTATTGGTCCTTTATTTTCTGTTTGAGTTTATGGTTTGGCAAAATCTGTACACTGTGTTCATAGCACACGTTTATTCTGAACTCTTCATCAACCACAACATGCTGACATCACAGACCATTGAAAGATAACCATAGTATGTAAAGTTCAATGGTCAATATATTTCACAATGCAAATATTATTCACATAAGCATTCAGATTCCACACACTGTCAAAACCCTTTATTCACATTCAGGTGGCGGCAGCTACGTGATCCAAATGCATAATTTAAAAAGCTTTCTCTGCATTTTGAACTTATACATATTTTAACCAAAAGGATCTTTCTACAAGGAAGGTCAGTTTTCTAATATATGCTCCCCATTTTAGCAGACTGGGTTGCCCTTTCATCTCACTTTCCCTTTTTCTTTTTTGTTCTTTTTCCACAGTGGTTAAATACATCTATAAGGAAATTTCCTTGTGCTTCTTAATATTAGCTCAAGGACTTACATTATTTGACAGAAGAAAGGTAGGTGTCACTCAAACCATGTGAAACCTAAATTTTTCAGCACTTTCTAGCTTGGAAGGAGGGTATTCTAGACACAAAGAACAAGCTGGGCGTGGTGGTGCACGCCTGTAATCCTAGCATTCGGGAGGCTGAGGCAGGAGGATCGCTATAAATTCGAGACAAGCCTGGGCTACATAGACAATTCCAGGGCAGTCTCAACTACATAGTGAGACCCTCTCTCAAAAAACAAGACCAAAAAATCATAAAGAACAATACCTATTTATACAGTGGTGTTGTCATTAAACTCTACTACTTCTACCATTTATCCTATAACAAACTCTCACATCCTCCTTTGTGATCTACTGGCTTGTTAAACTTAACCACATTACAGAGGTCTATGATTTACCTTTATTAGTAATACTTACTAGATTATTTTAACTAGATGTTGTCTTAAGCAGGAATTAGATTTATTCCAAATTTTTATTTTAAACGACTTAGGCCCTAGACAAATGTTTCCATCTATCATGCCAAAGTATAGGTGTTCCTACAAAGCTACAATCATATAGTAGTAAATTTCACACTTTGTTATTTTATACTAAGAGTTCCTGGTTGATGCCATTTGATTTAAAATCTGATTTTCCCACTGGGGATGTAGCTCAGTGTCACCATGCCTGCCAAATACAAGGTTGTGAGTTCAATTTCCACTACCTCCCCCAATTTTTTTATGTCCCTAATTCTGTTCAAATTGAAAGGAAAACTGGGGCTGGAGATTTAGCTCAGTAGTTCTGCTGGCTGCCTTGCAAGCTCGAGGACCCAAGTTCGATCCCCAGTACCAAAGAGAGAGAGAGAGAGAAAAAATACCCAAGGCAGTAAACCCAATGAATGTTGCAATTATTCAGAAAGCTCATTTTCTGAAGGCCTTA